GGGGGCGTGGCCGCCGGAGATGGAGGCCGGCTCCTCACAGTTTGGACTTTCTTGGGAAGTTTTGGGGATGACCAGGGAGAGTGCCTGGGAGATGCGTGAGGTGAAGAGCCAGGAGTTCCTCTTTGCCAGACTTTGGTCCTAAGGTTGGCTCCTGCATCATATCCCTCTTGCTGTTTCTGCTCCTGCATCCGCTTTTGCCTCTGTTTATCCATATTCCTGGTCAAAATGCTCGTCATGCTCATTCTTGGTCCTGGGAGCTCAAAATGGTAGCCCAGCCGCAGCAGCGTGGTGTTCTCCTTCAGCAGCTTGACGATCTCCATCTCCACCTGGCTGCCCATGATGTGCCTCTGGTTGTGGAACCGCAGCTCCGAGAGCATAGTGTTGTGCTGCAGGGCTCTCATGATGGCCAGGATGCCCTTCCCCGTGATAAAGTTGGACTCGATGTTGACGCTGGTGACGTGCTCGTTGACCTGGAGCATTTCCGCAATGGCCAAAGCCGCACTGTCATCAGCACGTGTGTTGGCCAGGCTGAAGGTCTTCACCACCGTGTTGTCCTTGAGGGCTTCAGCAAAGCGGGTGAGAGTCTGCGATGTGATGTTCTCTATATTGTTCAAATTGACTTCTACGGTGTCAGGGTCATTGTTTTTAATATTTTCCAAAGCATCCTCAATAACCGTAGGATTTCCACAAGGGTGAATGGCAGCAGGGGACTCTGTGTTCCTTCCACTGTGGCCATTGGTCAAGTTTATGTTTTCTATTTGACTTTTAAATATCTTTGGCTTAGAGGTGTCTGAATTGGCACTATCATAATTTATAGTTCCATTAATGCCTTTTCCTTTTTCAATGGTTCTTTCCTCTTCATCGCTATCTTCTTCCTCCTCTTCCTCCTGGGACTCCTCCTCCTCTTCCTCTTCTGTATACACATCCTCAGAAACCTCACTGTTACTTCCAGTAAAGATAAGCTCTTCTTCACTCTCCTCTTTGTCTTCTGCAACCTAAAGAGTATGGTAGACATCATTAAGTTTTTCATTTTTAAGTACATTTTTTAATGTACAAAGGTAGCACACAGTATGAAAGCATATACTGACAAAAGTTAATCATCGCCTGCTTCTGATCTCACCAGCTCAGGTGACCGATGTTAACATTTTGTTGTGTATCCTGCAACA